CCCCTAGTTGCTGCTTAAAACGTTTAATATACATGAGCTTACATTTAGCTTTAGCGTGGGGTCAAGACTTGTGCACGGCGTGTCATACTCTCGGTCTTCCCAATCCGAATGTTGGTTTTGTTCACTATTTTTTTAACATTTTTATTGATAACTTTTGCATTTTCTTTGCGTACATTTTATGTCAATTTGATTGCCTTGTATGTGTATGGCCACTTGAGATGTTCCTTAATTAAAATGTTTTACATTCAAATTTTTTACTATGCTTATTATTGTTTGCATGTGCAATTTATATTCCATGACTGGCACACACTTGGGGGAGGGGGGGGCTCACCCCGTCGTGTCTAAGAGGAACCACAGCAGATGATATTGTCAAGTAGGGAAATATGAATTTCCGGAAATGCAGCGCTGCTACGAGACGAACAGCTACAGCACGAGAGGCTAATGAGTGCTATCACAATAGCATCATTGCCCCCCTAGCCATGCTTTGGTCGGTAAGAGGCTAATTGTGAACTGGATGTGCGGTTGGATAACAGTGGCTAATGGATGTCACACAGATGTCGTTTTACAGTCCCGTTGCTCTAAATACAGTGCACCAGGACGTGCTGCAGTCACGGTGGTTAATTCAGCAGCGAGCATTAACAAGCAATTTACAAGTTGATATGCTTTCAATTGTCATGACTAAAACTAACACATTTCCTTTGTGAGTACAATGCATTCTACTGAATAAATTAATTCACGTGATATAATGTAACATTGCAATTTTCACATATCGCTGCGAGTACCCAATACGCAGCAAGGGATCCGAATGTCTGTGCTCCCTCGGAAGTGTTCACAGCATGTGCATGACCTATGACCTCTCAGACCGAGTGAGTCGCCTACTTGTAATTGGAAAAAGATAATGCTTCACTGTGTGTGATAATTAAAACACAAAATGATTAGCAATATCACGAGTATGCTTTTACCGGCGCTGTACTGAAGCTGGCCTTTTGCCAGAAATCGCGTATCCACATATTTGAGCTTTCTTCGGCAATATATACGTATTTAAAAAAAAACTTGTTTTGAAAATATGCATGCAAATCGTGTGAGCTTCAAGTGCACTGTGTAAATGAAGAGCTGCATTATAAATGAGCATTTTCTTGCACTGAGAAAAGGATGTGCTTCTGGCTTTACTGGGAGCTTTTGACTTTGCCTGCTCAAGCTGAATAAAAAAAACAGTCAACATTAAATGAAAAGCTTTCAGCAACACCTACTTGCAGAGTAGACACAGCACTTTTGTCTTGCACAACAACAAAAACATAATTCAGTTTTCACAAATGATTATGTGCAACTGGCATTAAAAAATAACAAATAAAGGGACGTGTTATGTCCTTCGCAAACACATTACTGTATCAATCACCACAGCAGCCGTTTGTTGTTGTTGTGTCACTGTTGCCGTGATTAGACTAAGCATTTGTATGGCGCAAATAAAATGAGGAAGATGATATAAACACGAGCAAGAAGCCCTCCACATCTCTCCTTCTCTCTGTCAGACTGAAAACATCTAATGTATTTTGTTATTAAGTGATTTACTTAACACAGGTATGTTTCCTGAAACTTGTAGGTCATTGCCTTATTTGCTGGATGATTTTAAAGAAAGAAAAAATTGTTGAGAAAGGGCAAAGTTATTTTCAAAAGATGCAAGGTGGATCAATAAAGTGCATTGTGAAGGGTAAAACCTCTTTGTCTTCTGAAAGATTTTATGTGGGAAAGAATACTTTATGAAGAAGAAATGATCTTGTGGAAGATAGCAGGCAATCGATAAAACACATTGTGAGCGGTAAAGCTGTTTTCGCAAGATGTAAGGCAGATTAATACATTTGATGGAAGATGCATCCACAATTAGTACACCATTATAATTTTTGTACTCCCATTTATTTATCGCTGCATCTTTTGTAAGTGACATTCTTCCACCTCCAAAAAAATGCACACATCCGGTGTGACTCTTATTTTACTAAAATCATGTTCTAGTGGGGCATCTTTCTGTTCCAGAAGCCACAACATTTAATGTTTATTGTTGTTGTTAGTTTTTAGACATAGTGGTATATGTTTCAGAATCTGCAAGTCATGAGCTGTTGATTTGTGCCCCATTTAAACACCTGTCACATGTTCTTCAAACCTATCAGACAGTGACCCTTGGCAGCACCCATGCATTATAGAGATTGTGCGTTGCTTTACTTAAACATTTTCATAATTTCAGACAAGATTGCAATGATAAATCCCGTGTAATTTTAGTTTCTCAAGTTAATCTTAGATTTAGTGCAATTGAAAATAATAATTTGGCAACACACAGCAAGGGACCTTACTACTTATGCAAATGAACATTTTTTTTTATAAAACACTTTTTGGTAAATTCCTACATCAGCTTTAATTAGGAGTGCCATTAACTTTACATTATTTTAGCTCTTTCGCTTTTTTCACCAAATTCTAGAACGAACGTGCCATTTGGTGAATTCAATGCCAGCCTTGATATGCAGAGCACAACAAGGCAAACCCTGTCAGCTCTATCAGCTTTTTCTTTCGTACATTCCTGTTGCTATTTCTTAAACACGGATCCATTTTGCCTGTTATTTCCACTTCACAATACCAGTGCATACCAGCAGTACACCTTAGTTTGTATTGGTCAGATAAACATTGCTGCATGCGTATTGCTGGTCAATTTTGAGATATAAACGGATTTTATGTCATGGTGAGAATAGTATTCCGATGTAGCCTTCCCTGTGTACATTCTCTTTACATAGCACACAGTACATGCGAGACAGATCCCATTCTTCCTGCAAGTCCAATTTGATGTGCTCAGCCGGGTCCTATTTACAAAAAGAAAACAATTAAAGTGGTCTAGTAGGCAAGCACTGACCATGAAATATGTTTATCTGTTGTCATTCAAATACACACACAGATATTGTATCCTGTGAATTCAAGGACAGCACATTGTAGACTTGTGCTAGACAGCTGAGTTATAATGTTCCCTTGTCTTTTGTCTGTTCCAGTACAATCAGTAAAAACTTTCCTGGCTGCTGCCAATCAGAAAACACGAGGACACGACTATTGTCCGGTTGAAAACATTTATTTTGGACATGATGTGTGACCAATGAGTGCATATCATTGTGTGGGCATATCTTTTATTTTGGCTTGACCCTAGTCACCTCAAAACCGAGTGTTTTCCCATACAATTGCAGCTGTACAAGTAAACCCACAACTCCTTACTGCCTATGGCTGTCATTAACCATGATGAATTGTACTTTCATGTGGCTAAGCTTTTTCAACTCACCCTTTTATTATATAGTTGGGTCACATTGCTGTTGCATAGATAGTCGGACCACAAGAAGCTAAGACCACGTGAATGAGAAAATATGCACTGTAATGAGTCTACACGTAGATGAGACCACATGGGAATGAAGATGACATGGAAGTGAAACCACACTGATGTGAGTCCTCACAGCCATGATTTCAAATTGGAGGGAATAATGCTCTTTCATTTCACATCCAATCACTGCCCCTTGTGCTTATCGTCTTTTAAATAAAAATGTGGTGTTGTGTCCAATGGAAAACTTTTAACATTTCATGATACTCAATAGTAGGCTGACAAGTCTTATCGCCATTACATAATGCGTACATGCTGGCAGTTACACAAGAAACTATGAATGACAATAACTGCAAAAATTATAACATCATATCACCAGCATTCCATAAATTAAGCCAAAAACACTTTGCAATGCACTGATTTAAGGGAAAATGTATTTCTTCTTTACAACAATTATTGCATTTATTATACATAAAATACTTTAGAAACATTTAATTAGCCACAATAATCACGACATGACAGTATTTATTTTAGATACAGACGACGGGGATTATTGTGACCCTTCGATCACGGCAATGCTACTAATAAGACATCGTTACAACAACGTGATGTTGGTGCTCGCCTGAGTGTGTGTGGCATACTGCACAGGCCAGGCTGGTAAGTTCACCACCGTGCACTGACCAGTTTGCTGAAATATACGGTCACATATCCTTCCTCCAACGGTATTGCAACTTGAACCATGGTCGTTAGTCATCTGCGATTCTTTCTTTCATCAAACATGAGAGCAGCAGGGCAGGTGTAGGAGAAGGGGATGCTATCCAAATCACTGGGCAAGATGCCTTCTTGACATGACTGTTGCTACATAGAACATGCATAATATATCCGACTTATCAAACCTTGTTGAACTGGAGACAGAATTGAGAGAAATAAATTGGGGTATAGTCTCAGTGATGTGAGAAAGAAAGTGGAGGACACTATAGGGAATTATTTTTATTATCATTAATTATGGGGCAGTTAGATTCTTTGTCTCTCCAGCTATCAAAAATAAAAATGTCGGTTTTAATAGTAGATTGGATAGAGTTGTCCAGTTAACATTTAGGCTCTCGAACCACTGTTAGTTAAATACAATTAAAATACTGTATATGCTCCAATAACAAGCCATGGAGATGCAGACCAAATGTATGAATAAATTAACAAATACATGTAGGTAAGATCCATGAAAACACCATGATGGGTGACTTGAATGCAAAGTAGGTGAAATGTTTAAAGATGAGAGGATGATTGGTAAGTTTGGCATTGGAACGAGGAACAAGACAGAAGCCATTATCTTAGGAAAATTGACTAGGCACACGATTCTATTTTTCACCGCATCATTGCTTCCTGAGACATAATAAGCATGGCTCCAGAAGTATGTGTAAGCCAATGTGGAGAGGCACAATTTGTGCATATTGCTAGCTACACCTGTAATATTTAACATGCACGTACATGACACCATCAGCATGGTGAGTAATGAAATGAGATAAAAGCACAGGGCCAAATGCACACTCATTCCTTTCACAGTAAATAATGACGGCGCTTCCGTACACACTATCTCACATATGTGTGTGTGTGGCTGTATATTGTAAGTGAAAACGCAGTGAGTTGTTCGTGAGGTCTGTACCTGGAATTCACATGTGCATGTGATGTTCCCCAGCAGGTTGGCGGTGCACATACCACCATGCTTACACGTGCTGTCATCACACACAGATGCTCCGACATTGCTCACTGGTGCAGTGACATCTGAAAGTGCAAAACATGGATAGAATCGATCATCACTATCATGGTTTGGCAACATGTAAACTCATTGAACAGGGCCACAAACAAAACATCAAACATTTTTTTTATTCCTTAATTCGAAGCACGAAGCAGTGTTGACATTTGGTTGTGCATTTCTGTCCACAATGGATGCATACATCTTGCAGGGAGCTGAGTCTCACACACATCTGGGTCTCATGGAACTCGTTGATGCTCTATCCAAACTCACAGAAGTTTGTTTTGCTTTAGTAATGTCTTTGGAAACAATGAGCTCATCTAAACAAACACGGTAATTCGTTTTTAACATTGTACAGCAACTCTTAACAATAGGATAGTGTTTCGCAATACATATTATACAAAAGTGGCAAGCATTTAAAAATAAAAATAAACGTCGTGAGAATTTGATTTGATTATGTTTTATTTTTATTATTTATTATTTCCCTTCTACGTGACTTTACCGAAAGAACCAAGAAGAAAAAAAAACACATTTGCACAAAAGGCCCCGCTTTGTTGAAACCAAAGTCACTTAGCACACGTCCAAATGCAAAAGGATGAGATATTTTTCCATGGGTGAATTTTGTTGGATATTATAGGCAGAATATCCGACAATACATTGCTCTCCTCGACTCTGATTTACAAACACAATAAACCAAATTAAGTATCGTATTACAATTGTGCAGGTCATTCAATAATTTTCAACATTCGGATGTGCAAACAGTCTGCTAATTTATTTGCTCATCCAATCTGCCTCACTGCATTTTCACAAATGTTCACAAACTGTCATATAATTTACTGGTTACTGCACGGGCAAAAGTCTATTGTAAAAACTGTGCAAGCATTACATATGGGCGATCGTGCTATTTTCCCGATGCAGTCATGCATACTTTAAAATCTCTAAAGAGTAATATCTAGCGGCAATGTGACACAACAGTGAACTAAGAAAAGAGTATGCCCATAGCTCTGGATGACTGAACCAACTCACACAATTGGCGATGCTGGAATTAGGTCAATCTCTCCACAGTGGCTTACTCAGGCCCCCAATTACACGAGCAGCCAGTTCATGTTTAATGCAAGGCAGAGGACCCCTGTCAGTCAGCTGGATGTGATAGGTAGGATTAATTAGGTAATGTGTTTCCCCACTCTACCTGGTACTGTTTAACTGAACATGCTCTGCAAAACCATGTGAATTCAAATTACGTTTTCTGTAATATTATGCGAGCTGAAAGGTAGTACAGTTTTTGTTTGTTCATTAGGTAAGGCATTTGCAGATGAAAACATTTACGGTTAACATGTGACTGTTTCAAAATTGTTCTTTGTTTTCATAAACCTTTCAGAAAAACATTATCTATATATATAAAATCGTTCATGTCTGTCTGTGTGTGTGTGTGTGTGGACTTTGGCCCATACGCACTTTCATTGGACGGCGGTTGCCCCTGGCAACGGCTAGCCACGCCTTCGCCGCTTTCATTGGACCTGGTAACGGCTAGCCACGCCTTCGCCAAGGGCTGCAGTTTCATTGGACGGCGGTTGCCCCTGCCAACGGCTAGCCACGCCTTCGCCACTTTCATAAGCTCCGTATTTAATTAAATAATAGCCATTACACAGTATTGTTGGAGCGCTAGGGGGGGGGGGGGGGGAAGGAACGCCACCCGTACCCTGCCTCTTCCAAGCCGACAATTTTAGGCGAGGCCGCAGGCTTTGCACGCTACTAGGCCTCGACACCCACCACGCCACTCTGAGGTAAATTCATCAAAGTTTTTCCTACTCTTCACTACACCCCCACCACAATGTGTGCTATTAATATTACTTTTAAACCCAACGCGCCAACAATCGATTACTTTAATGTTCACTGTACAAATACTCATTAAGCTGGGTGAGCGTACTGCCAGTCTATCATGTACACTGTAGCCTGCTTATTAAGCTCGGTGAGCGTACTGCCACTCTATCATGTACACTCTAGCCTGCTTATGAAGCTGAGTGCGTGTACTGGCAGTCTATAATGTGGACTCTTGCCTGGTTATTATAATCGATTCTTTATATGTTCTTTGTACAAACAGTCATTAAGCTGCTTGAGCGACCCCAGTTCCATTCCAACTCACGCCCACCACCGCTGACGATTATTTGAAACGGACCTGGCCCTCCCCTAGGTCCACTCAGCCTCAAAAGCGTAACTGCTGTCGTGTGTGAACATCGTCACTGGGGAGACAAAGGCGGCGGGGCATCGTGGATCCAAGTCCCGGGCGAAGCCGGGTCATGTGTATGTGTGTTTGTGTTTATGTGTATGTCTGTGTGTCTCTATGTATGTGTGTATGTATGTGTATGTATGTGTTTGTGTGTATGTGTGTGTATGTATGTGGGTTTTTTTTTATGTCTTTATGTGTATGTCTGCGTGTCTCTATGTATGTGTGTATGTACGTGTGTGCATGTGTTTGTGTGTATGTATGTGTGTGTCTATGTATGTGTGTGTATGTGTGTGTATGTATGTGTGTTATGTGTCTGTCTGTGTCTGCATGTATGTGTGTGTATTGTGTATGTGTTTGTGTGCATGTATGTGTGTGTTTGTGTGTATGTGTATGTCTGTGTGTATGTGTTTGTGTGTATGTGTGTGTATGTATGTGTGTGTATGTGTTTGTATGTGTTTGTGTGTTTACGCTCGCATTACACAAATGTGTTGCTGGTCTAAGGCGTTCCTCGCACAGCATTGCCGCTTTATTATTTCAGTCGTTTACTGCCTTACGCACCCTGAAAGTCGTGTGTGTCTGCAGCAAGCGCGTGTATGTGTACCTATGGACGCGCGCGCGTGTGTTGTGTAGGGGGAACGGTAGTGTAGTGCTTAGCGTGCTGTCTGTGTGTGTGTGTGTCTGTCTGTGTCTGTCTGTGTGTGTCTGCGTGTGTCTGTGTGTGTGTCTGTGTGTGTGCGTGTGTGGTGTGTGGGGAGCGGTAGTGTAGTGCTTAGCGTGCTGTCTGTGTGTCTGTGTGTGTGTGTGTCTGTCTGTGTCTGTCTGTGTGTGTCTGCGTGTGTCTGTGTGTGTGTCTGTGCGTGTGTGGTGTGAGGAGCGGTGGGTGTAGTGCTTAACGCTACGCTGCGCTACCAACCCGGCGAACCCAGTTCCATTCCCGCTCACGGCCACCACCGGTGACGATTATTTGAACCTCCCCTAGGTCCACTCAGCCTCAAACGAGTAACTGGTGTGGCGTATTAACATCGGCACTTGGGAGACAAAGGCGGCCGGGCGTGGTAGATCCAAGTCCCGGGCGAAGCCGGGCCATGTGTATGTGTTTATGTGTATGTCTGTGTGTCTGTATGCATGTGTGTATGTATGTGTGTGTATGTGTTTGTGTGTATGTCTGTGTGTGTATGTATGTCGGTTTTTGCCGCCGTGGTGGATCCAAGTCCCGGGCGAAGCCGGGTCATGTGTATGTGTATGTGTTTATGTGTATGTCTGTGTGTCTGTATGCATGTGTGTATGTATGTGTGTGCATGTGTTTGTGTGTATGTATGTGTGTGTGTATGTATGTGGGTTTTTTTGTATGTGTTTATGTGTATGTCTGCGTGCCTGTATGTATGTGTGTATGTACGTCTGTGGATGTGTTTGTGTGTATGTATGTGTGTGTCTATGTATGTGTGTGTATGTGTTTCTGTGTTTGTATGTGTGTGTATGTATGTGTGTTATGTGTCTGTCTGTGTGTCTGCATGTATGTGTGTGTGTATTGTGTTTGTGTGTGTTTGTGTGTTTACGCTCGCATTACACAAATGTATAATGCGGGTCTAAGGCGTTCCTCGCCCAGCATTGCCGCTTTCTTTTTTCAGTCGTTTACTGCCGTACGCACCCTGAAAGTCGTGTGTGTCTGCAGCAAGCGCGTGTATGTGTACCTATGGATGCGCGCGCGTGTGTTGTGTAGGGGGAACGGTAGTGTAGTGCTTAGCGTGCTGTCTGTGTCTGTGTGTGTGTGTCTGTGTGTGTGTGTCTGTGTGTGTGTCTGTGTGTGTGCGTGTGTGGTGTGTGGGGAGCGGTAGTGTAGTGGTTAGCGTGCTGTCTGTGTGTCTGTGTGTGTGTGTCTGTCTGTGTCTGTCTGCGTGTGTCTGTGTGTGTGTGTCTGTGCGTGTGTGGTGTGTGAGGAGCGGTGGGTGTAGTGGTTAACGCTACGCTGCGCTATAAACCCGGCGAACCGAGTTCTATTCCCGCTCACGGCCACCACCGGTGACGATTATTTGAACCTCCCCTAGGTCGACTCAGCCTCAAACGAGTAACTGGTGTGGCGTATTAACATCGCCACTGGGGAGACAAAGGCGGCCGTGCGTGAGTGGTGAGGGAGGGAGAGTCGTGAGGGAGGGAGAGTGCTGAGGGAGGGAGAGTGGTAAGGGAGGGAGAGTGGTGAGGGAGGGACTCAGCCGCAAAACGAGTAACTGGTGTGGCGTATTAACATCGCCACTGGGGAGACAAAGGCGGCCGGGCGTGGTGGATACAAGTCCCGGGCGAAGCCGGGTAGTACAGCTAGTACTCAATAAAGTAATTATAATTTCTTGGCCACTCTCGCCCCAACTAACTTGAGAGGGCCACATTCACCTGCAGATTTGACATTTCACCTAATTTACCTTGTTAATATATATAAAATACAAACATTACTTGAATCCACAGTTTCATACACAGAACAGGAGAATAGAAAATTCCTGTTTTAATAAAACTCGAGTAAATGTACCAATTTAAATTCTGCCAATATTTTCGTGGGAATTTATTTAAACGAAATTTAATTTAGGAAATAATCCTTACCTTTATTTGAATGTATATATGAAATATTTGAAATATGCCATTCATATTTGAATGTATATACAAGGCGTGAAATGTGATTTATCCAGGGTTATCCTGCAATATGTAAATGCATTGAACTGGGTTTGCAGTACAGAGAGGTGGTGAATACTCACCGCTGCAGCTATTTTGACATTTTTATTAAATTCATGTTTTAACTTTATAAATGAAAGCACA